ACTGCTTGGTGGTGGCTCTTGGTTTATCTTGGGATAAACTGAAAAGAATCCAAAGTACAACAATAAACTGAGAGAGGATGATTACATACAGGTAGATGGGGAGAGCTACCTGAAGCATGTGGCATGATGTAGCGTCACTGGTGATGGCATGACGATATGCCTTGAGGAAGATTAATTACTTAGGGGTAGAATTACTCACCACAAATAAGAAAGTGAATATTTAAATATCAGGAAAAGCTTAGTGTTGTAAAGGAAAGTGATCAAAGCCATTGTAGGGAGCACCTAACAAATACCAGGCAAGCCAGTGGAATTAGTCATCATTTTCATGGAATGATGAAGCTGCCTTTGAACCCCACAGCCAAGAGCTGATACATACCATTCTTCCAGAGCTAGCAGCAATCCTGCCTGTGGCCAGCCATTCCAGATAGGGTGTGTGCCTGCACTGAAGAGCTAAACTGAACTGAATTTCAGCAGAAAGAAAAAAATCAACTTAAAAGTGCCAAGTTCTCACACACCACTGAAGGGAGGTATTCCCCAACTCCATGCTGCTTCCCAGCAATAGCTTACTCATTCTATTAACCTGATGAGAAAAAAAATCATCAATGCCTTTTATAAGGTAAACTCCGAAGACTAAATAAATTTATTTTATTAACCAGAAGTTATGCTCAGCAAAGAGCACACATTGCAGGTTAAATTCAGAGAGTCCCATGGGAGGCAGTTTCCAAGCAGCCAAGAGCAGCTTTCACGTGCAGTTCAGCTTTGCTGTGTCCTTTCTCTATCCTGGCAGCAGCACTCCCCAGCTGGAGATCAGTCACGCCGTGACACCGCATCCAGGATCTGCCTTTGATGCTGCCCACACCACAATGGTTCGTGCTCAGCCAGGACTGCAGGCAGCGGCAGCACAACAGACCGAGGGGCTACAGGGAGGGCACACGGTGACACTTTTATCATTCCAACTGCTTACTACAGCAAGAGGCACTGAAACAATAGTTACACACCCATCCCCAGCCCCCACCGAGCAAAGCCAACATCACATAGAGATTTCTGGCAAAGGATGAAATCTAGGAAGTTTTTAAGATCATGTTACATGCTTTGACTGTAAGCTCAGCTGAGGCCAACTTGCATGCCTGCATGATTAAAGTCACCCTGCTCTGGGTTTTGAGGATTAATAATTTGCAGTTTGTAAATGCATTATATATCTGCCCAAGAGAAAAAGTGCTGTCTCCCTTTATATGACAATAATTCTGCTTCCAAAGTTCCCAGCTCTCTTAAGGTTTTAGCCAATTTAGTGGGGGAAGCATAGACAAGAACAATCAAAAGACACAACCGCAAACACAAGATCCCAACAGATTTTCATAGGTTAGAACTTTGTGAATGTATATCTGATCCAAAGATGGCAAACTTCACTTGAACTTAAACAGAAGTAACACACTGAGAAATCACTATCTGGCGGCCATTGCATTAAGGGACAGAAAAACTCTAAAAAAATCTCAGTTTTCTAAACTCAAGAGATTTCCGAGTTAGCACTGGAAAGCCTACATAGAGAAACCACAATGTGAGTGCAGGATCAACACCAGAGGAAAAACCCTACCTCTAAGCAGAAACCAGGTAATACTGATCTAATTTATTCTAATCTATATAAAGCAAACAAGTGCATTTATTACAAACAAGATAACCTGTTTAAGCAGTAAGGCAAACTGACCTGTCTTTCAATTGGCAGCAATCATGGTGTGCTTTTTCTGCCCTTTGCCCACAGAAAACCAAACTTGTTTCCTATTTCTGAAACGTTCCTGCTGTCCATAACTATGTAATTTGCAACACAGATCTAGCTCTGGGCCCAAGAGCTGGGAGGAAATGGGCTGATGTGGACTTGACCTCTCATGATGGCAATGACATAAGAAATTACGAAATCAGAATTCCCAGAAAAGACTCAATTACCAACAAACTCGCATCAGCCCCTCTCTCACAGCAAGAAGGAAAAACAGTTCTTTTCTACAGTTTTATGCTTGCTCTATCTCTTCTCTGACTGTGAGGGGTCCTCCTCATTCTGAGATACATCAGCATTGTGTTATTAGCACAGGCACACACCAACACAGAAGGATGACACACAGTTTCCCCACTTTTTGCATGCATCGTTTAGACTCTACTGCATCTGATTCATCAACCTTGAGCAACAGGAAAAGCATACTGGGGGCAGAATACTGGCAAAAATACTGTCCTGGATGACCTGTTGAACCTTCTTACTTCCCATAATCCCCAAAAGGAGGCTTTCCTGTCTCTCTCTCCAGCTCTTTGTTATTGCTACAATGATCACCACATTCCAGAATGAAATTTTTTTTTGCATCTCTACATAAATTTGTAACTTAATGGCTTCAGGGCAGGAAGTCTTCATTTTGCAGCAAAAGAAAGCACTAACATGTACAGACAGCTTGCAGAACAGCAAATTTACTGTTCTCAAACACATCATGGGCCTTCTACTACCTAGCAAAAGGCAGAGAGTGACCTTGACCACGACACTTACTGGAAGAGTCAAGTTTCAACCAAGAAATTAGAAGGATGCTTCAATTTCCATCACAGATTTCCTCTGTGTTGACAGCAAAACCTCTCCAAGTTTTCAGCCATTACAAGTCTTACATATGCAAGGAAAAGTTTCCTTCAGTCTGCATTCACTTGACTGAGGTTTGCAAAGCATCATCCTTCTTCATGAAGGGTCATTTGACTGGAAATGCTTATCAACGTGGCTAGCAAAAGAAAACTTAATTTTGATGAAAACAGCGTACTTCTTAGTCTTCATCTTGCCATCAAAACAGAAGACCAGCTGATCCTACCACAGGCACACTCAGGCACTAAAATGTCAAATGCCAGTCAGTTATCTACAACATGCATTGTTTCCCCCAGACACACATTCCCAGGTCTCATGGAATGAAACCAAGCACAAGGGTTCCAGACACACCCCAGCATCTCAGCAATGCAAAGAAAAACATGTAAAACTTTCGATCAGCTGAACCATAGGTGGTGTTAGTATGGGGAAAGGACTAACATCACTCCCACAGTTCTGCAATTCTCATGAAAGAGGCAAGCATGGCTGCTCCTTCCTACTGCCACTTCATAATTCGAGAGCATTCACAAATAATTAACAACAAAAGAAAAAAATCGACGTCTGTTCACTGAGACCTGACAAATTTTGATTCTCATCTCAGAACACCTATTGCCTAAAGGGGAAATGTCACAGCAATCTTCCAGCATAGCAATAAATCCAGCCTCGTGCACCACTGCTGCCCCCCCATCCCTACCACATGAATTCAACACTCGCTTGTGCTCCAGCTTTTTCTTTGTTTAATTTTGATTTCCTCCACTTTCCCAGCTAGCCAGAGCGCTGCAGCTGTTCCAGCCTCTCGGGAGAAAGTCCAGCAAGGCGGCAGCCCGTGTACACACACACACACACTCACACTGCTGAGCAGCACTCGCACCTGGCAATGGCACGGTGGTCGTGCTTACTTCTCTCTGACCTTCAAGTTCCCAAACTGTTCCCACAAACCACCCAGAGGTTTGCACCTGGCAAGACCCCATCCACAGCCCCAAACCACACACCTCTGCCCCACCTGACTCGAAGGTGACATCCCATGGGAACACGAGGGGCTTCTGACCCCACCACCTTCAAGCTCTGCCGAGCAAACCCTGGCCACACACGGCTGCTTCCAACTTGCCATGACAATCAAGCCTTCCGTGGCACGGGAACACGCGAAAAATTAAAATTTGGGCCTAGAGCTAGCCGGACAACCCCCCTCCACCTTTTTTCTTGTCTTTTAGATTTTCTGCATGCCTCCTCATCCGAATCCCCCAGGTGGGACTGAATGGCAACACGTTTTTCTCCCAGCTCTGGGAATGCCCCGAGTCGCCGCGGTAGAAGTTCCACGGGGGTGTGTGGAGAACGGGGAAGTTCCCTGCTGGAGCTGTGACCCAGAGTATCCCATTGCCCAAACCCCAAACCCCAA